CACACTTTCCAAATCAAAACTCAAATGCGACTTTTAACTTGAAGCACAAGTCCTGGATTGATGGTCTGAAATCAAGGCTATGGTGGATTTTCCCGCGCATCTGCTTACCGTCATTAATAGATTCTAGTGAGTTGACCTGGGCCTCTGACCCTACACTGTTGCAATGAAAAAGCCAAAAGCGAGGTGAGCGTTTGGAATAAAACAATTTGCCATTTGGGACTATACTTCACATTCTCAGGTTGCATGTTCTTGCCTCTGAGTAGACTCTGAGTTTTATACATTTTAAAATCCCTCAAAGCACTTAGCAGAGTGCTAGGCACATAGAAGACACAACAAATGCCCGTGCGCTTGCTTGAAATTCCCCACCTGCCTTTTACTTTGATTTCAGTTGCATTTTCCATCACATTATCTGGAGCCAAGCTGCAGTTCACCCTCCTGCCGCACAGAGGCGCAATGGGAATCGTGCGCGGTGGGACGAGCAGCCGCAACCGTCTTGGGCAGGGAAGAGCCCGGTTCCCAGAATGCACTTTGTATCAACACGGCGCTGGGGGCGGTTTCAGCAGGTCCCGACAGCTGGCCGACTGGCGAGCCGCGCGAGGGCTACCCTGCTGGCCCGGCGTTGAGGAGCGACTGGAGCCATGGCAGAGTCGGCGCCTGCTCGGGTAGGAGGCCTCTTGCCAGGCCTGGAGGGCGTTCGGAATGGCGGCGCCACTGTCCGGGGCGGGGCTTCAGTTGGTCCTGGTGAGAGGCTCGGTTTCCCAGGCTGCAGTTGGCCGGCAGACACCTGCTTTCTCCCCGCGACCCTCACACTGTCACTTTTTGTCTCTGCTTCCTCGTACCCCGGGCTCAGCGCCTGGGCACTGTGTACCTTCGCCCAGTAACAACGCAAAACTGGTGTCAGGTTCTTGGGTTTGCGGCTGTGCCCGCCCATTTTCTCCTATGGGTCCGCAGCCCCCGTTTCCGGGTTGCGGCAGGGGCAGAAGTCACGGCGTGGTCCGGAGACCCCGGACTCCGCCCTCGCTTGCTGGTCTGACCCCGCGGCCCGTTGCTTCTGCCTCGCCCTGGCTGCAGGTCTTTGCCCTAGAGCTGTAGCCACAGGTTGAAGTCAGGCGGAGTTTCCTCTCCTGGGTGGTCCCGTGATGTTACCTTAGTGTAGTTGCTGGCTTTTGTTTGCAGAGTCGTGGAGCGCTCTCTCCCTTTCTGTCTCCTTCAGTCGTCCCTTGTCAGGGAAGGTCTAGACCCTGGTGTGAAGATATCCTGGGTATGGAGTCGGGAAACTGGAGTCCAGTCTCGAGCGAGCGCTCAGCTGTCCGCTTCGTTGTTTTTAGGCAACCGTGTTTGTCTTTCTGAGAGGCTCTATTTCTCTAAGAGTGTTAGGTTAGTGGGTACGTGGGGTCCTTCCAGCTCTGACATCCTCATGTTATTCCAAAGTTGTGTTTAACAATAATACGAGTGGATTGCTGAATTAAATTGGTTCTAGTGCAGGCAGTTTTTGATCCAGAAACACTTTCAGAATTACATGAGATCTTTTGTGAGAATGGAGGACTGAGGAGACCCTTTACCATGAGCAGAGTGCACTGTATTTGATTCTTATAGGAAGGGGATAAAAAATAAGGGAGGGATTTGTTGACTTTTGCTTTCAATATAGCACTTAACTTGGGACAAGGCGCAAATGTCTACAATGTTTTCCTTCTCTGACTCCTTTTGGCTAAGCAGATCAAATCAAAGACTTGGCTTTTCCTGAAGACCAGAACACTACTACAGGTTGGGAGGACACCCTGCCAGAACGCTTGTTACTTAGGTTTGGGTCATCCCATGGTCACTTAAGTAATCAACAGACTTCGTTGAGAAGTCTTAAAGATTCCCCAAAATCCAAACTATGCTTTTAGTAACTTGTGTTTTGTCGTTGTGGAACCTAACACTGTTCTTGAGCATATTTCTGTTCTCAGACTTTGTCTCTTCAGATGAGAGGCTGTGGGTCTACACTGAGTAGGTTCACTGATTAAAAACAACTAAGAATGTTGAGGAGAAAACCTACGTGTGTTTAAAATGTTCAGTAAAGAATATTTGGAGCCTTCGGGGCTGGGGATTTAGCTCAGCGGCATAAGTAACCTGCCTTGCAAGCAGGCAGTTGTGAGTTGGATCCCTGGTACCGATAAAAAGGAAAAAGACAAAACAAAAAAAAAGAATGTTTGGAGCCTCAAAACTAAATGAAAGAGGAAATTCTTAAGAGGAAAGTGGAATTCTGATGCCAATTTTGAAGACATTTTCTGAATATTTATTTTTGGTGACCTAGCAAGTAGACAATTCAGAGCCTAAGGTGGAGTGTCTAAGAAGTCCTCTATTATAATCCTATAAAAACTGAGAGTTCAAAGACCCATATTCCAAGGATGAACTGAAAGTGAACTCTTTGCTTTCGGTGATTGGTTTTTTGTTTCGTTTTTGTCTTTTTGAGATAGGGTCTCACTGTACAGTTCAAGCTGTCCTTGAGCTCACTTGGTTGTTATTTTGTGTTTGGTATGGGGATTGAATTTAGCACCTTGCATATGCCATGCAGGTGCTTGTGCCACTGAGGTAAATCCCTGGCCCCTAAAGCTCACTTTGTAGCCCAGGTTAGTCTCAAACTTGCAAAGATCCTCCTGCCTTAGCCTACTGAGTGCTGGGATTACAAGGTGTGTGTCACCATGCCTGGCTTCAAAATTTATTCTAAAATAAGGGTAAAATAACATTTTCAGATAAAACAGTTTGCAGCCAGATGTGGTGATACCTGCCTGTAATCACAGCACTCAGAAGGCTGAGGCAGGAACAGTGCTGCAAGTTTGAGGCCAGCCTGGGCTATACAGAGAGTCCAAAGCCAACCTGAACCATGTAGTAAGACCTTGTCTCAACACACAACAACAACAACAAAATAGTGCAGTCCTGAAAGGACATACATTAGGTAAATGGCAAATCATCCCCTATAGACAGAAAATGTGGTGATCTATGAATATGGGAAAATCTAAAATACTAGCTGACTAAAGCTGGAGTAGTATCTTATGAAGCTAAAAGCAAAGAGAATTAAAACACATGACAATATTGATGGAGAAGGGACAATCAGAACTCACATGTATAAAGACTTCTAGGTATGCTTCTTATAATTTGTAGGAGAACTGTTAAAAAGACTATTTGATTTACAAATTACTGTATAACTTACACATCAGTGTATGTGCTGCCAAAGTGAACACTGTAACTTACAAATTAGAAGGAAGAATAAGAGAATAAGAAAACAATTAAAAGAAGGCAACAGGGAAGATGAAGAAAGAGATAAACAGTACAGAAAGGAAAAAAAATATCAGTAGCTACAATAAATATAAATGAGCTGACTGTTCCAGCTAAAAGGCAAAGATTATCAAGATGGAAGATAATTCTATGTTTTTATAAAAGGTACAACTAAAAGATAAGTCCGTACAAATGTTTGAATATAGAAGGCTATAACAGTAATATACCAGGCCAACACCAAAAGGAAGCTGATTTAGGTATATTAACATGAAAAGATAGACACCTACTGCTGCTTTTATAATGTTAAAAACCTCAATTTATCAACTCCATGTGACATTTCTCAGTGTGCATTGCATTATATAACCTCAGAATCTATAAAACAAAATTGACAGAAGTACAAGGAAAATTCACTGTCACAATAAAGATTTTAACACGACCTTCATGTTTTATTAAGAACATGTCCATCATCCTTCAAAATTCTGGTGAATGTACCACACCCTAGCACCCTTTTTTTCCCCCCTATGTGATAAAACACTTTTTTTTTTTTTGAGACAGGGTCTTGCTATATAGCCTACACTGACCTCGGCCTCATGGTGATCCCTCCTGCCTCAGCCTCCCAAGTGCTAGAATTATAGGTGTGTGCTACCATACCCAGCAGTGAGACTGTATTTTTTGTTTATGGTGGTTGAGTGTTTGAACTGTAATGACAAGAATGTTATTTGAGTCATGATTTGACTATATGATATTTAAAAGCAGGACTATTGCCAGAGAATCCAGAAATAGGGTCAGCAGAAGTTTAGTTGCTGTATTCTCATTGCCTTCAGATATGTTCTTAAATATTGAATTTAAGAAAACATTACAGAAGAATGCATGTTTATTGAAAATCTGAGTAATAATTTTTTTTGTTTGTTTGTTTGTTTTGGTCTTTTTTTGAGACAGGGTCTCGTTATGCAGTTCAGACTGGCCTCATGCTCACTTTGTAGCCCAGGCTGGTCTCGAACTTGCAATGATCCTCAGCCTCCCGAGTTCTGGGATTACAGGCGTGAGCTACCATACCTGGCTAACGAGTAATAATTTTCGATGGCAGAGTAAAATCTGTCCCTCTGCTCCCCTGAATGTGTATCCATATTAAGAGTGGTATGGTGAGTGTCTTCCCAAACCTTTCTGTGTGCTGAAACAAATCACACACACAGTTTCTCTTTAGGGAAATAATAATAAATGTATTTTGGCAAAAATTGGATTTTTCATTTATCAACATAGGGTGAATACTTTCCAAACCATATTTAACTCTTTTTAATACTTGTACAATATTGGTTTTGGTTGTACTGTAATTTATGTAGCTATTCCTTTAATAATAGACGTTAAGTTAATTCCAGATTTTAACTAGAGTGTTAGCCAGTAGTCTTTTTTGTTTGAATGTAATTAAATACTAGTGCCATTTCTTCCTTAAGATGGACTCCCTAAGTGGGGTTTCAGTGAGTCTTGGGAGATGGCCTTCCGCAAAGTGTGACTGTTCGTTCCTACTGCTGGCTTATGAAGGTGTTGGTGTCTGATGGCCCTGAAGGGTGTACCTCCTCACTTCTACACACGTCTGTCTGATGGTGGGAAGCGGTTTCCTGCTGGGGCTCACATGCGTAACTGCTGAGGCGCTTCTTTCTCCATTTGCTTCTGATTGCCTGTGTTTCACTTTCTTCTTTTTTTTTTTTTTTTTTGGTCTTTTTCATTTTTATCGGTACCAGGGATCGAACTCACGACTGCCTGCTTGCAAGGCAGGCGCTTATGCAGCTGAGCTACATCCCCAGCCCCTTGTGTTTCACATTCACGAATGATTTATTCTGCAGCTTTACTTTGGGATTATTGTTTTCACTTCACAGGTTGTTTCCTATTTGGTTTATACTTCGCTTATGGTGTTTTTGGGCAGTTAACATTTTTTCCTTCTTTGATGTTGTAAGTCCTACTTACTGAGCTCCAGTAAATTTGCTCTGTTTGTAGAGTTCTGTGTGTTTTGACAGCCATTGAATTACTGAGATGCAGAATATTTCCATTGTCCCAGAAAACTCCCTTGTGCTTTCTTTGTTATCAGTCTCACAATGCCTGACAACGCTGATCTGTCTGTCCTGCTAGTTTTGCCTCTTCCTAACTGTCCTGTGAGTGGGTTCTGTTACATAGCTGTTTGTGCCTGGCTTCTTCAATTCGGTGTGCTGCCTCTGCTCTGTTCTTGTTTATTGCCAAGTAGTGTGCGGCCATGTGGTGAGTTAGTTTCCTTGGGCCCACCATACAGATCTCATTAATCTTGATTACCCCCAGGAAGAACCTAGTCTAAGTGAGGTCACTTTATGAGATGCGGCTGTTAAGACTACCACATGACTATTGGGCAAAGCACAGTTCTCCTCATAATGTATGAATGGGTGGGCCACAATTTGCGTATTCACTTACCAGCTGGTAAGCATTTCCATCATTTCCATCATGCTAGATAATCAAAACAGAGTGTGTGGAGAGAGGAGGGCTTCTGTCTCCCATTCTGCGTGGAATTGCTTTCTCACGTGGCCTTTGGGGGTGGAATTGTCTGACTGACCTTTCTTTTTTGATCCTCAGCACAGGAGAAAGCGGCGCGCTACACCACTGGCTTCTTCCTCACCACCCTCGCAAACAACAGAGAAAAGTCCGTATTTCCAGACCACAGAGATCTCGCTGTGGACCGTAGTAGCTGCTCTTCAGGCCGTGGAAAAGAAGATGGAGTCCCAGGCTGCCAGACTGCAGAGCCTGGAGGGCCGCACAGGGACGGCCGAGAAGAAGCTGGCTGACTGTGAGAAGACAGCCGTGGAGCTGGGCAACCAGCTGGAGGGCAAGTGGGCCGTGCTGGGGACCCTGCTGCAGGAGTACGGGCTGCTGCAGCGGCGCCTGGAGAACGTGGAGAACCTGCTGCGCAACCGGAACTTCTGGGTGCTGCGGCTGCCCCCGGGGAGCAAGGGTGAGGCCCCCAAGGTAGGTGCCCTGAACACTCAAAAGTTGGGCCAGAAGAGGCCCCGAGGCTCTAAATTACTGGCTTGGCCTTCGTGTGCTATCAAGGCACTTACTGTGCTGTTTGTGACTTCAGGTGTCCAGGGCACTTGAAAATGATGGCGTCTGCTTCTCCGAGCAGGAGTGGGAGAACCTGGCAGACTGGCAGAAGGAGCTGTACAGGAACGTCATGCAGAGCAACTACGAGGCACTGGTCTCCCTGAGTGAGTAGTGTCCGTCCTGCATTTGCCCACTGCTCTGCGCTTCCTGCTCAGTGGCTGTGGCCCTTGTAGCTACTCCCTTGGCTTGACTGGGAGAAGTGGGTGTGTCCTGATCCTCCTGCTAACAGACACTTCACAAAGGTTGCTTGTATCTCTTCTCTGCAGTCACACCATCACCTCTAGAAAATGTTTACTAGGTGAGGTTCCACTGTTGCTCAGCCAACCAGACCCTTTCTCATGGTCTTTGGCTGGAGTCAGAGCCATCACTGTGGTCTTAGGATTTACTTTGTGTAGATTAGAAGTGCTGCGTAGTCTGTCTGAATCTTTATGAATGTAAACTACTGCCTGTGACATAACAAATGCATTTTAAAATGCAGATCATGGAGAAGTACAGTGGTGCCTTGGTTCACAAATTCAATTTTGGGAAAGGTGGTCACATTTGTGTTTGTGCAGGAAAGATGGCTTAGTTTGTTTGTCACCCAGTGCAGAGTTTGCAAACAAAAACAAAATTTTGCCACATGCTTTTGTTTGTGAGCCAAGTTGTTTGCAAACAAACATTTATGAACTGAGGTACCACTGTATCAAGGAGGCCAGAGTGAGGGAAAGGAGGTTGAAATGGGCCAGAGGTGGCTGTGTGACCTCAGAGGTGGCTGTGTGGGTCCCATCCTGTGTTGGGTGCTGTTTCCTTGTCTATCACAGTGCCGGTCTTACTTGGCAGTATCTCAGCAAGAATGAAGTGGGTCCCTGAAAAGAGCCTTGGCAAGACGTCAGCCACATGCTGCAGTGGCGTCGGGGTGCTGGAGCAAGGGCCAGGCTTGGCACCTAATGCTTGTGCCGAGGGCCCTTCATGAAGACAGTAGAGGCGGCAGCAGCTGCCTCATCCTCTCCCTGGCTAGCATTGTGTCCTTCTCCCAAAGTACTGGGGGAGAGTAGGGGAGAGTGGCGCTGTAGCCTTTGACCCTGTTGTGGGAGTTGTAGTATAGATTCCCTGCCAGCAGTCCCTTGGTGTGTAGCTGACGGAGTGTGCTGAGCTTTTCTCTCCTCTGGGCTCATTCTGTGCTGTTTCCAACCCAGAGGTCCTTGGCCAGCCAGAGGGCGAAGCGGAGCTAGGTGCAGAGATGCTGGGTGATTTGGAGGAGGAGGAGAGCCTTGTTGGTGCCCACCCTGGTGAGTGCTTTGGCATATTCTCTTCCCCTGCCACCCACAGGTCCCACCGTGGAGCTGCCCCACACTGCCTGTCTGCCACCTTGTCTGCACATGCTGGTTGTCACATGTGTGCCTTAACTGCTGCCACCTTGTGGGGTCATAAAGCCAGTGATCACTCTTCTTCATTCCCTGCAGCATAGAGGACATGACAGGCAGTGGTCAGTGGGCATGAGATGGGGAGGTGGGGGGGAGCGGAGCAGAGGAGCTATGGGAAAGAAAGGTATTGGAGGTGGGCACTGGGCAGAGGACACAGGAAGAGCCAGACATGAGGCTTCTCAGGTTTGCTATGTTTTTCTTTAATCATTCAAATTTCTCATCTTAACACTTTCCTAAATTAGGTTATTATGGTGTATTTTGACATTTCACACAGGGATTAAGGTTGAGTTTGGAGAATTAAAATTTATTTATAGCATTATTCTATAAGAGTTTTCAGCTCACATGTCTGAACATGAATATAAAGTTTATTTTTTTACCAGCCTTGGAGCCTTGTTAATCTTGTCTCTTCCAGGTTGTGCTAATTCCTGTGTTCTTGGGGCTTTGATTTGAGCCCTTCCGAAATGTTCACGTTTGTCTGGTCTGGAGCTGCCATAGGTGCTGGCGAGTGATGTTCTCTTGGTCTTCTTTGCAGCAGATGGGGCCGTGCTCAGACCAGAGGTGCCAAGTCAGCCAGAAGACTGCATGTTCCCAGGGGAAGCAGAGGAGCGGGATTTCCTGAGACCAGTGCAAACTGAGCTCTGGGATGGCCAGGGTGGTTCTGCCCTCTTGGAACCAGGTCCCCGGGGTTCCAGCCTCGAAGAGCCCCTGGAAGGCAGTGGAGACCCTGCCACTGGCAGAACTCTGGGCTGCTCTCCAAAGCAGAAATCCCACAGGCAGACACAGGTGGCTCAGGAGTGCGCACAGGGCCTGAAACTGAAAAGGGACCCTTCTGGCCCCTACGAGTGTTCTGAGTGTGACATCAGCTTCTGCTATAAGCAGCAGCTGACTGCACATCTGCGGAGCCACTCGGGGTGGGTGTCCTATCCTGCTGTAGAGCCTGGGGAAAGCCTTAGACCCCGGCCACGGTTAAAGCCTCAGGCGAAGAGGGCCAAGCTGTACCAGTGCAATGTGTGTCAGAGGAGCTTCAGCTGCAGGGTGAGCCTGGTGACCCACCAGCGCTGCCACCTGCAGGAGGGTCCCAGTGCTGGCCCACGCATCCAGGAGAGGTTCTCACCCAACAGCCTGGTGGCGCTGCCTGGCCACATCCCCTGGCGGAAGAGCCGGAGCTCCCTCATCTGTGGCTATTGCGGCAAGAGCTTCAGCCATCCATCCGACCTGGTTCGGCACCAGCGCATCCACACAGGCGAGCGGCCTTACAGTTGCCCCGAGTGTGACAAGAGCTTCGTCCAGAAGCAGCACCTGCTGCAGCACCAGAAGATCCACCAGCGGGAGCGCAGTGGGCCAGGTTCCCAGCCTGGGAGGCCCAATGGCTTGCTGTAGAGCGCCGCCCCTCACCGTCGGGGGCGGAGAGGGGCGGCAACAGTGCCCCCGGAAAACACCATCTTGGGCCAGGCACCAACTGCTTCTGGTCTACCTTCCCTCGCCCAAGTGCCAGTCTGAGCCCTAAGCTGTCCTGAAACCATGTGGGAGAAGCGGGGGCAGCACCTGCCTGCCCTGCATCTTGGCCCGCTGTGAGCCTGCTGGCCCTGGCGCCTGGGTCTCTGGTCTTCCTGTCCTCCGGTACTCACGGCAGGGCTGGCTGCTGAGCCCAGGGGGCTAAGGCCAACCTTTCCTTTCACGGCAGCCCAGGGGTGAGCGCTGTGCGTGTGAGGATGAGGGCGAGTTCTGGGCCACCTCACCCTCCACACCTCTTTCGTAGTCTCTGTTAACAAGTAGAAGGAATAATTTAATGAACAGCTAACCCCGCTCTGAAGACTTTTTTTGAAGTTAGATTCTAGTTGATTTTGAAATTATAACACAACACTTGTTTTTTAAGTTTCAGAAGTCATAGAAGTTGTTCCTAACTCGGGGACTGGGCTTGCCCTCTAGGAGGGAATAGTTTATGGGGCTTGTAGCCCACCCACATGTTCTGGGGCCAGGGAGCAGAGACGCTTCCAGCCTCTCAGCCTGACACTGATTTGTCTCTGGAGGGCCAGTGGGAGAGAGTCGGAGGGGACTTGAGGCTCCTGCCGAGGAAAGGTTCCTGGAAAGGAGCCTGGGGGTTCTGGTTCTGGGTGTGTTGGTGGTGTGCGGGGCCCTCCTCCCAGCCTCACTCAGCTGTCTCTGGCCTGTCATGCAGGAGGCCTACTGGTTACCTCAGATTGTTCAGTTAGCACCTGTGGTCCAATTTGTTCCTGTTGCACCCATTGCTCTTTGCTCTTTGACATTGCTGAGTCACACTTTGCAAATCCTGCCTGGTGAGGAGGGAGAAGCATGGAGGCTGGGTCGGGACTGTAGCGTGCTCATCCCACTGTTGGGAGCCAGGAGGGAGTTCTTGGGCTGGATGTGAACCTCCTCTTAGATGATCTACAGTTGCCTAGAATAAAAAACTTCCTAGCAAAACCTGGGCTCTTGCTGGTTGCTTTTCTCTTGTCAAAATCAGTCTTCTGGGGCAGGAGGTGGGGAGAGAGAATGCTTTTTTTATAGCTGTAACCAATTACATAAAGCAGGAAAAGTGGCACAGCACCTGCATGGCAAGCATGAGGTTGTGAGTTTGATTCCTAGTACCAAAAAAAGGTGTGTTTTGGCTTCTGGTTTCAGAGGTCTGAGGTCAGCTGGCTCCAGACAGAAATAGCACAGAGGAAGAGAGCGGTAGAGAAAAGCTGTACTCACTTGATGAAGTTAGAGCTCTTATGGTCCATTCAGTTCCTTAGATCCCACCCACCTGCTTTGGGAGGCACTTTGAGTGTCAGCTGCAATAGGACCCCACTCTGGAGGGCTGACCCACACCTAGGAATAGGAGTAGCAGCCCAGGCCCCTGTGAGGGCAGGGAAAGTGACTCCATCCACGTGATAATTTTTGTGAGGAAGGCAGGAGGGGAAGCAGGGAAGGTGCCCCAGGATTCCTTGGCAGCTGTTGGAAATGTTGGGTATGCCTGGAAACCCAGCCTCAGGGAGGCTGAGACAGGATTGTTGTGAATTGAGGCCAGCATGAGTTATGTAATGAGTGCAAGTCCAGCCTGGAATAAACGATCGTGTTCCAAAAAATAAAAATGTCGGTTTACACACAAATGTAGTCTTTGCACTAGGGTCTCAAAAAGACAAAAACTAGTTTTCTTCCTGTCCTTTACTTTTGCATGGCATTGTCCTAGACTAGCACAGTATTCTGTTTTGCCTTAGTGTATGCAGTTTCCCATGGGAAGGACGTAGGTAAAAGATCTTGTGAGCTTAACCACTGTTTAGGGGAGCCAAGACAAAATAGAAAATGTTGCATCTTCAGGAAGGCTGAAGGGCTGTAAAATTTCAGCAGACAGTTATTGTAGACAAGGGACATTGGGAAGATGAGAATCAATGATGTAAGTGTATGTGTTTATGGGGACATTATGATGGTTTTATCTATGTAGCCAATGTTTAACAGTCAAGTTGGTGTCAGCGTTTCCATGTCTCTGTTCGATTCTAGTTCTTTATAAAACATGGGACTCACCATCAGAACTTCCTCCTCCCATGTGGCTGTGCTGAAGGACCTGTTCTCTGACTGCCTTCTATGCCTGTCTTCCTCTCTAAGAGGTGACTGCACTGTCCCTTGTGGATGGCAAGGACGTCCTATGTGGAGGTGACGTGCCCCGGGAAGGCTCAGACAGCAGCTCCTCTAGTGTTGGGGAGAGGAGTGAGCACTGGTGATGGTGCTGAGCAGGGCTCAGCAGCGCCATGCAGACTGGCAGCCTCCATCTCTGATCAGGGAGTGTTAACCTAGTAAGAGTCACTGTGTGTGTTTTGGGGCTCTGGGCTTCTGAGGGGGACCAAGCAGGAGCCAGTGGGGACCTGTCAGCACAGCAGCAGAGGGAAGGGCGAGAGACCAGGTCACAGGTGGTGTCTGCAGATGAGATGCTTTGGAAATGGGTACCATGTCGAGGTGCCCCCTGAACGTGTGGACTTCCAGCATAGTGATCCTCACAAACAGCACAGTGCTTCCTGCCGTGGGGAGCACTGCATCCACGGGGCAGGATTTGACTCCCTGTTGCTTCCCTGCTGACCTGTTTCATTCTGACCTCAGTGACCTCCCTGAACGGAGGAACCTTTCCAGGTGGCTCCACAAACCTTTTTAGCTGCCTCTGACTCTTTGGGGGATGAGCCCTTGAGTGTCTTGACCCCACTCTGGGTGATTCAAGTTCAGAATGGATGGTCCTGAGCCTCTGATGACACCTGTAGCAGCACAGGCTGTGCTGGGCCACTTGCAAGGACTCAAGCAGTCTTAGGGTCTCGGCCTTGGCGTGAAACCTCCAAGCACCTGCAGCTCACCACTGCTCATCCAGAGGTCCCTAATCCTCAAGAGCTGGTTAAGAAGAAAAATCCAATCCCATAAAAGATTAATAATTAAGGATGTGGGCAATTTTATATCAGTGCCACACCTGGCCTGATACCCAGGCTGGTCTATATAAGGCAACCACGTTGTAGTGCAAAGGGTTTTAAAAATCAGCATGAAAACAGTAGATAGTTTTGGGAGATGATAAGACAGTCATTTTCAAACTAACCAGCTCATTAAACTAGGATCCCTGGGAATTAGTTCCAAGCAAAAATTCTCATCACCCACGCCCTTCAGCCTCAGATCCAGAAACAGTGCCAATTGCGACCAACAGTGTTTAAGCAAGTGCTCCAAATAGATGCAGGTGCATCCAAATAGATGTAGCAAGTGCTACAAATAGATGTATGCACACTACTGACTTAGAGGTACTTTCTGAAACACTAGGACCAGTAACTAAATGGGTTTAAGATAGTTCTGGGTGTGGACATTGTAAGTCCCACCCTGGCAATGGGAGGAACCAACCAACAGGCTTGTATCCTGGATGCAATTAAAAGGGAAAGAAAGGGAAACACATTGTTGTGCGCATGCACACATCCCACAACTGTCAAGAATTACAGCTATCTTCCTGGAGCAGAGCTTGTTAAAAACTTAACATTTACTTTTCCTCCAATCCATGTTGCAGACTTTTGCTGCTTGCATTGGACATTAACTATTACTTTATAAAGTCAGCATTTATCAGTATTTTAGTCTTTAATGTATTGAACTGACCCTTGATGAAATCCTAGGAAGGGTCTTAGTAGCTTCAACTCACATTTGCAAGTTGTCACAACTAGAATTTCCAAAATGAGTAATGTTGAGTATTGTTTGGGATTGTGTTCCCTTAAAGTAAATCCCTACTAACAATTCTCCGAAATGCTAGGGAGGATATAAGGATTTTGTTGACCATAGTTTTGTTTGGCTCATACGTTTGGGGGAGTAAACTGCTCACCCCCAACAAAACAGGAAAACACAAATACACAAAGGAGATTGCTGGTTAATTAGCAGGGACATTTTTCCAGCTTGAAAGACAAGATTTATAGGTAACCGGAACTGCACAAAAAGCAGAAAAAGAGAAACTGCACACCACATTTCAATGTATATCCAGGGGCTCTGGATTTCCCGAGTGAGGAGTGAGGCCCTCGGTTACGGTGGTAGAAAAACCTCTTAGAGGGACTGGCTTATTCATTCAAGATGCCCCAGGCAACCTTGCTGCAGACAGATTCACTTGGACTGTGTTCAGGCTGGATGGTACGCGCAAGAGCTTCTGAGTGGCCAGGAGACCTCAGGGGCTCTGTGCAGGGTATTTGGGGTAGGGTGGGATCCCGGGGGAAGGGAGAGACCCAGGCGTCCCAAAGGCCGAGATCCAAGGAAACGGCTTGGGTGTGTGTGTGTGTGGGGTGTGTGTGTGTGTGTGTGTGTTATTTTTTATTTTTCTTAGTTCCAGTTTGTAATACATGCAGATCACACTCATCGCGGGGGATGGCACAGTTGGTGATACAGTTTAATTCTAAGTCTGTATGCAGTGCAGGGATAAACGAGGTCCTGGTGCCTACTAGGCAAGCGCTCTGCCAACAAGCTCTACCCGCAGGCCTTTTTTCTTTCTTGACCGAAATCAATTTCTCCATAGATATTTCCGTTTGCGCGGGGAAACTAAAAGGCAGTTGAACACAATTTTGCTTTTCCTGGCCTTGTCGTGCTCGCCACGCGTGCTTCTCCTTCTCTGGGCTCCTTCGAGGCCTTTGTTGCAGGGGACGCTTCGGCCCCGCGCCTGCCCCTCGCGTCCCGCCCGCGGTGCGCGGTCCTTCGGCCTGCAGGGGGCGCTGTGCGCGCCCTCGGCCCCGCCGCCCGCAGCGCTTCTGAAAGGGCCGGCGGGGCACGTGGCTCGGGACGCCGTTCGCGGCCGCCGGGGAATAGCGAGACTGGCGGCGCCGCCCCTCCGCCCGCGAGGGCCCAGGACGCCGAGCACCGAGCCCGCGAGGACGCGGCCGCGGCGCCGAAGTGAGGCCTGCCCCGGTAAGCAACCCGCTAGGGCCCCGATTGCGCGGCCCACCCCTCGCGGCCCTGCCGGGGGCGCCGCGGCCCGAGCAGCTGGAAAGCCGATGCTGCGAGGCCTGGGTGCGGAAGGGGCGGCCCGGGGCGCCGTCCGGGGCGCCGTCCGGGGCGCCGTCCGGGGCGCCGTCCAGGGCAGTCGGGCCTGGTCAGGCCAGGATTCTGCAAGGATACTACCCGAGATACTCAACAGGCTGCTTCTTAAGGGAGAAATGCCACATGCTGCTTGCAACAACCCCCTTTTTACCTAGTTTAGAAATTACTTTAGCAATTTTATTTGATTTTTTGAGCCTGGTCTCGCGCTGTAGTTCAGGCCGGCCTCAAACTCCAGGATCCTCTTGTCTCGGCCTCTCAAGGACACGTACATCACCACGTCCGGCTTCAGCACATTTGAATATTGGTTCTAAAATGTACGATGTGGGGCTGGGGATGTAATTCAAGGGCATATGCACCCGCCCGGCAAGTGCAGGGTCCTGAGTTCGATTTCCAGTACAAAAAAACGTGCAATGTGCCCACTTTAGAGAAAATAATGCTTTAGTCATTTATTTTCACTTTATTTTAATGGTCATACGGACTAATGGGTCCTTTGGTGGTTTTTGACATACTGGAAAAAAGCTTGTAAGGAGCTCAGTAAGTGTGGTGTCTATTAATACTTCCCTGAAATTTCTTGGCGCTCATTTTCCTGGACTTTTTTTTTTTCTTTCCAATAGTGGTGGTTGAACCCAGAGCCTTCACATTGAATCATGGCCTCCAACTCTTTCTGTATTTTTTATTTTGAGACAGAGTCTCACCACATTTGCCCAGGTGGGGCTCAAACTTGCCATCCTCTTGGCTCAACCTCCTAGAGTGCTGACATTACAGGTGTGAGCCATTGTGCCCAGCTTCTGGGGTGCTTTTAATGTTTTTATTATTTATTTAGCCTTTTTCTTTTTGAGGCAGGGTTTCACTGTGCAGTGCAGGCTGGCCTTGAACTCACTTTGTAGCCCGGGCTGGCTTTGAACTTGCAAGTGATCCTTCTACTTAAAACACCACCACCACTACCACCACCCTACCCCACCCTCGTGCTGGGATTACCTGGATGCTTTTTAAAGGGAATGAAGTCTCTGTTCCTGTTAGAGTTTGCTTAGTTTCCTCCGATATTGCCAGAGTGCAAGGGAGAGAAGCGTCAGGGTTCTATGGGTTCCTGGCCTTGGCCTTGTGGAGCCGGACAGAATTTCCTGTACCTGTGCAGGTGACATCCTCAGCCCCCCTGCTGTGACCTGCCTCTGCTGTATCTGCCTGACCATCCCCGTCTCCCTGCTTCTTTTCCTCTCTTAGTACCTGAGCTCCCCCCACACCCACACACATACTGGTCCTGATTCCTGTTAATGCAGCCTGTCAGTCCTGGGTGTTTGTGGGGAATAATCCAGCCTCATCTAAGAATTGGCACTAGATCTGCTCATGGTCTGTGCACCTCCCACAAACCCCAAATCATCTCTACCTGACACAGTAGAAATGCCACATACATGTGAAGCTGTTCTGTTTAGATAAAAAGTATACCTGGTAAGCTTAAGGTCCTGAGTTCAGTTCCTGGTACCATAAAATACAATAGAAAAAAGTATGTACATGTTTACACATGCAATTTTTTCTTTCCAAATATTTTTATCTGGGGTTGGTTGCATCCTTGGAAATAGAGCCTGAAGGCCCATTGTTTTTTTTTTTGTTTGTTTGTTTTTTTTTTGAGACAAGATCTCATTATATAGTTCAGGCTAGCCTTGAACTGTCATTGAGACTGGGCTTGAATTTAGGATAGTGCCACTGCCTCAGCCTCCTGAGGGCTGGGATTACAGGTGTGTACCACCAAGCCTGGGTCTGATTGGATTTCGTGTTTTGTCTTTTTGAGACAGGGTCTCATACAGTTCAGGCTGGCCTTAAGCTCACTTTGTATCCCAGGCTGGTCTCATACTCACAAGGAGCCTCCTGATTTAGCTTCCCAAGTGCTAGGATTACAGGCATAAGCCACCATGGTTGGATCTTCTGATTGTATTTCTATGCAGGACTTTTCTCCTGAAGAAGAAGGAACCATATGTATTTTTCTACCTGCCCATAACTGTTGAATCATTCACTCAGTAAATAGTTGTTGGGCATATGCTGTTATTCACAGCTGGGAATAGAACCCAGGTGCGGTGGCACATACTTGTAATCCCAGCAGTGAGGAGGCTGAGGCAAGAGGATCCCTGTGAGTTCAAGGCCAGCCGAGGCTACAAAAGAAGTTCAAAGCCAGCCTGAACTATATAGCAAGACTGTCTCAAAGACCAAATTGAACTAAAACCAAAAAAATGATGCGGATTTGGGGAAAACACAAGCATTCAGTCCACAGCTGTCATAATTTCAGCCCAGTAAACAGTCTGCACACACTTACTACTATGTGCACACTTTTTAGTGTAAGACATCACACAGTATGCTTTTTACAAAGAGTCTCACTAATTCTCACAGTCCTGTTGCATGGGTACTGTTGATCCCTCTGTTCTCTAGATGTGGCAGTGAACCTGGAGGGTGATTAAAAACTCTGCCCGAGGGCCTGGGGATTTAGCTCAGCGGCATAAGCGCCTGCCTTGCAAGCATGGGGTGGTGAGTTCGATCCCTGGTACCGATAAAAAAATGAAAAAGACAAAAAAAAAAAAAAAAAGAAGTAGTTGTTCAGATTACAAAACAAAAGAATACAAAGTGACATTCAAATAGTGACAGTACCAACAGTTCTGCTCAATGATCCAACAAAAAAACTTAGTAATATGGTTATCAGTCGTACACACTTGTTTTTTATCTTAAAGAGGGTAAGATTAAATATATCAAAACAGAACAAAACAGTTCATAAAGAAACAATTTAAAGAAATGCAGATTTCAAAGCAAGTCCACTGGAGATCTTCACTATCTATCTTATTGTCTCTAGTTTTCTTCCAAATAGTTGTCCCCATCTTCGCACACATTGAATACATACTGTATATTATAGAACTAATCATTACAGGATGATGAAGGCTTTTTAGGTTCTCAAGATCTGACAGTGAGGAAGTCAATAATGATTGCCATAATGTCTCTTATTCCTTTCGTAGTGCTAAAATTGAACTTAAGAGACTAGACTAATATCACTCTGAACAGTGAATAATAGTATTGCCAGATTTTATATCATAATGTTAATGTGTATAATTTTGGTGATCACTGTTCTTTCTCATCTCATGAGCAGGTTCCAGAGGGACAGAAAAGCCAATGGGGGACCAGCAACCTTCCACGCCCTGTCCATCTTCCCCTACGACCACTAAGAAGAGCTCATACCTTTACTCCACGGAGATCACACTGTGGACTGTGGTGGCCGCCACGCAGGCTGTGGAGCAAAAGGTGGACTCCTGCCTGACCCGTTTGCTGGCTCTGGAGGGCCGCATGGGGACGGCGGAGAAGAAGCTGGCGGACTGCGAGAAGACCGCCGCTGAGTTCGGCAACCAGCTAGAGGGCAAGTGGGCCGTGCTGGGGACCCTGCTGCAGGAGTACGGGCTGCTGCAGCGGCGGCTGGAGAACCTGGAGAACCTGCTGCGCAACCGAAACTTTTGGATCCTGCGGCTGCCCCCCGGGAGCAAGGGCGAGGTCCCCAAGGTAGCCTTTGGGTGCCTTGGGGTGGAGAGGCCATGGACCTTGTGGCCAGCATGTGAATGAGTAAGTGTGACCCTTGTTCCAGGTGCCTGTGACCTTTGATGATGTGGCCGTGTATTTTTCCGAGCAGGAGTGGGGCAAGCTGGAGGACTGGCAGAAGGAGCTGTACAAGCACGTGATGCAGGGCAACTATGAGACCCTGGTCTCCCTTGGTGAGGACACAAGAGCTGCTGGCTTCCGTCCCAGTGGCCTCTGCACTTGGGTTTTGCTTTGCTCTTTTCTCTTTGCTCATCTCAGCCTCTTGGTGGGCAGCTGGCACCCAGCCCTTTCTTCGTCCCCTCCCCAATCCTTTTGCAGATTATGCCATCTCCAAACCAGACATCATTGCCCGGATGGAGAGAGGAGAAGAGCCCTGGCCCAAAGGCCTGTGGGGCCAGGAGAAGGGCGGTGGGGAGCCAGCAGCATGCCCCAGGATGCCGGGTGAGTGTGGGCATGTTTGGGGGTGATGGTGCAGAGTCCCAGCCAAGAGGGCATGACAGATGATCTAGAAGCTGGAAGATAGCATCACCCTTAGAGCAGGATGGCTGGGCTGGGTCCGAGGCCATCTCTGGCAGTGCTGGCAGCACTTTTCTTCAGGATCATTGGTTTCTGCATGCTGACAAGGGCACAGTCTCAAGGGAGCTGTTGTGAGCCTTGTGGTGGCGACTGTTGAACAGGAGGTGGGAGCATCTCATAATAAGCAGGCTGATTGCTGTTAACAGTAATAGTGCAAATGCGTCCTCACCACCTCCTGCTACCTGCATGATGGCAGGGCCATCTGTCCCACACTGCTGCCCCTGTGTCTCCAGCTAGGTCCAGGGCACAGCTGGTACCTGCTCCTTGTATGTTACCGGGGAATCTGGAGGCCATACTCGTCAGAGTCCTGGGGCGCTCTTTAAAATGAGTGATGTGGAGGGAGGATTTCCCCAGTGACCTGGGTGTCCCGCAGCACAGGCCAGGGTTCTGGCTATAGATTGCTCTCAGCACACCTAGGCCAATGACACAGCTGATCTGCTGGGACAGAGTCATCACCTGATTCTTTCACCATTGACCTTTTTGCTCATAGTATGATTCTTTCTCTCAGATTTTTTCCCTTAAAACAACAAAACAAAATGGCTTTGTTTCTTGTAGGAAGGGGCTCATTTCGGAGCATCTCTGTAAATCTTAGTGACAAACAGGTTTTTAGGGTCACACGGCTCGGGCTCTCAGCACACATTTGTGTGAACTCTGGTGTGAGCAGTCCATGTGCGGGTTGAAGAGTTGTCTCAAACGTGACATTTTATCTGTGGAGATGTGCAAGCACCACAGGCTACATCTGCACTATGAATCCCGCCACCCAGTTCTGTGACGTGACTGAGAGTGATATGGACCCTGCTGAGGTCCCCATAGTGCTGTGCAGAGTCCTGCTGGATAGGGAGACTGTGGATAGAATCAAGCTGCTAGACTGGGTGAAGCCACCGGAGTCACACCCTGTGTGGGGTCTGATGCTCCTTGACCCTCATGGGCCCACATTTAGCTAGAAAGCCCCCAGCCATCTGGCTGGAAGACCTCTGTTGAGCTCAGTGTCACTGGTTTGCTTTCTCCAGGTCCCACTCCATGTCCGGAGCAGGTTCCCAGCTCCGTCAGCCTCACCCAGGAGGAACCCAAAGAAGGACTCGCCCCTGTGCAGCAGCAGGATGAGGAAGCAGGGCTGATCCCTGCTGGTGAGTGACCACAGAAGCAGGGATCTTTGCTGGAGCTGTTGGGACAGGAGAGGTGGTAGTCCTGCAGCCACTGGGCTCCTGGGAGGGGGCCTGCAGTACAGGCAGGCATTGTTGGTGCAGGAAAACACCTGAACAGAGCACCACTGCCTCAGCATATGTTCGACTGGCCTAGCCCCATATTTCCTCTGGACCGCCAGCCTGACAGCGGGCTAGCTTCCTCCATACTGCACAGGAGGGCAAAGCCCTTCGTTTTCTGGGCTTCTGCCCTGCCAACCTGGGTCTTGGTGTGGGCTCCACCTGTGCATGTGGGGTTGAGGACAGTGTCCCTGCCTGGCAGACCTGGACCTCTGCCCTCCTGAGCCCATCATGGTCTCAGTGAGATGCAGGACAAGTCATGAGCCCAGGTCCTTGTGGGTTTGAGTGTGACCCTGAGGCCCCTCTTCCTGGTGGGTGCTTGGACGTAGCTGTGAGAAGGTAGTTCATCCACCCTGCAGTCAAGGATCAGGACAGGCTCACAGGATCTGTCTCTCATAGGCCCTCCAGCGAGCACCCTGGTTAAAGAGGAGGGAGACTTTCCAGAGGGGGCCCCAACAGCCTCCCCTCTCAGGGACAGTCTGCCCAGTGTGGGTTCAGGTGAGTAATGAGAGGGTGCTCTGTGGCTTTGGGAGGGACACTTAGACATAAGCTGTAACAGTGGAGCATAGTGTCCTCAGGCTGCTGGGGTCCCTGGTGTCCCTGGAGGCAGTTAGGGCCTACAGGCTCCTTGTCCTTTACAAATAACTACTCTTACTAGAATTCTTGGATCTCTCTCCTTCTTCCTGTCCATCTGGAAGATCTGACCCAGGGTCTCCTGGGCTCCTGGCTTTGCAGCTTTCACTGCTCTCTCCTGGTGTCCTTGACTCTACCAGTGCTGCTTCCTTTGCAGGTGGCAGTGCTGTGGCCATTAAGATAGAAGCTCCATCCAAGGATGACACAATGCCAGAGCAGCCTATTCTGGGGTCCCCAAGCCAGACCAAGTGTAGAATCCCCAAGGGGCCTAGAAACCAGACTGGAGGTCCCATGCAGCGTCGTGCCCAGGTATTGCCCCGGCCACCAGGAGCTGTTGGGGAGCTGCCCCAGGTACTACCTCGCCGGCGGCAGGAGCGTAGCTTCCCTTGTCCAGACTGTGGACAGAGCTTTCGCCTGAAAATCAACCTGACAATCCACCAGCGGAGCCACACAGAGCGGGAGAGGGATAGCCATGCCACCCTGGAGCCAGGCGAGGTGGTAGTACCTGGCCCTGTCATCCGCTGGCTCCCTGAGGAGCCCAGGGCCCACCGTGCCCTGGCAGCCCAGGTCTTGGCTGGGCGGAAGCCAATGGCTACCAAAGTGTACCACTGCAGCAAGTGCCTGCGCTTCTTCCAGCAGCGTAGGAGCCTGCTGTTGCACCAGCGCCTGCACACAGGTGACAGCCAGGGCTGGCCCACTTGCCCCTACTGCAGCAAGGCCTTCCGCCGGCCCTCAGACCTCTTCCGTCACCAGCGCATCCACACAGGTGAGCGGCCCTACCAGTGCCCCCATTGTGGCCGGGCCTTCAACCGCAATCACCACCTGTCTGTCCACATGCAGACTCACACCCGGGGACAGGGGCCCCTACAGGGGCCCGGCCACATGGAGGAGGGCTGACACCGGGGGGCCCGCCAGACACCCGTGGCCCTCTGGGCACCTGCGCTCTGTTTCCAGACCCTTGCCGTGCACCTCTATCTGGTTCCTCATATGATGATGGCTTTAGAGAGACATTTTTCATGCATATGGGAAGCATCAACCGTACTGGGTCAGTGTACATGTGTGACTAGGTGCTTCCATTTCTCAAATGTGTCACACTGCTGCCTCTTCTACATTCCTGGCTTATAAAGCATTTCATCAGGTGTAAGGAATGCTGACTTTTGGAAGTAACTTTGGCTGGTACCAGAATCAAGAGGACCACACATCGGACCCATCTCAGATGGAGCCACAGAGACCTCAAGGAACGGGCTGACTGCACAGTCTGCTTGTGGCCATGTGAAAAGCAGTGGAATGAACAGGTGGTCTGAGGGAAATTTGCATTTTCTACTTGGCTACTTTGAGACTCTTTTTGCTTCTTAAGGAGCTTTCCTAATATTTTTGCAAGTATTGTGTAGAGTTGCAAAGGGGACCAGGTGCTCCTATGAGTTGAGAAGAGAAGCTGAGTCCAAACTGCTATGGCCTTGAGGTAGCTCTTCATGGCCCAAGAAGCACAGGTTTCTTTGCCCACAGTGGCTCCAGGCCACAGAGCAGTCTCATTTATTATTTCCTCCCACTGTCAGATGAGCCAGGAGGGAGTGGCTCTCAGGTTGTATTGACTGGACCTCAGATGTCTGGAGGGGGTGCAGGGTAAGCACTAGAAGACCAGCCTTGAGAGGGTGCCCCTCACCTGGGCCAACCCACCTGGGCTCTGGGGTCAAACTGAGCAGGAAGGTCTGAGAAAACCCCTTCAGCTACCTCAGAGTTCATGTTCCTGTCTAAGAGACTGACAGCCCCAGTGCCACCTGCCTCACCTCAGTCCTGTCAGTGTCACCTGTAGGGGCACCATACAAAGTAGAAGACTGGCTTTGTCCTTCCTTCCAAACTCAGGGCCTCCTTTCTGGTCCATGGTGATGGCCAGGCCTTTCCTCCCAGGAAGAATCCCTCAGGAAGGGCCTTTCTCCTCTAGATAGCACAGGCTACACCCACCAGGTTCAGGGATGGAGCTTGAGTGCTGGTGGCCTTTTTACCAAAGTACAGATTTGATCTCAGGAAGCTGAGGCCATAGCATTAGGCCTTATAGAAGCATCTTGAGAAAAGCTTGTTTCTCTTGTGATAATCACGTCACAGTGCTGTCTGTAGAACAGACATGCGCTGGGTGACAGCCACTAGCCCTGCTGACAGCTTGCTGTCTTGTTTGGCCTGTTCTGGGTATCTGGTTCCTAAATGTGCCACTTCTTGTTCTTCTGACCCTTGCCAGTTGAGGCCAGATGATAACACTGTTGTCACGTTTGGGAGGAGAACACAGGTCTGTGCCAGTTCCCCTGCGTTCCCACCCTCCTGCACTGTGGGTCCTGCTTGGCCTTGTTGGGGACCCCAGGAGTCAGAGACAGGCAGCCACTGCAGGCTGGGACCAATGCAAAAACCAGTCTGGGTGTTCAGGAGGTGGTAGGAAATGCCCAGGGCTAGGCTTGCTTTTCCAAATGCCCCTGTAAATTGCAAAGGTTCTATGCCCAAAACTCAGGTGTCTCATTTTTGCACTCCATTGGCTTTGCCCAGCTCAGGGCTAGGCCTGCTGAGTTTGCCCTTAGGTTTCAAGTGTTGTCTAAGTTGAAATGAATCAGAGGAGGCTGTCTGATGCAGGAGTCCACTTCCACAATGAGGTTAAGTTCCTTCTCACGCTGGGCCTAGGTGTGGGTCTTTCATTTGCTTAAGAGAAATGAGATGCCTGAACTGTGAAGGCTTAAGAACTTTTTTTTTTTTCTTTTTTGGCACCAGGGATCAAATTCGCACTTGCCAGGCAGGCGCTTATGCTGCTGAACTAAATACCCAGCCCCTAAAGGCTTAAGAACTGTGACGGTGGCAGTCCCCTGTCCTTACTGGTGCTCAATAAACAGGCTGGCATAAACGAGTACGTGCGCGTGGTCTGTTTCCCGCATTTCCGGGGATAGGGGGTCGGCGGGATCAGTCAGGGTTGGTGACAAGAGAGGGTCGCTTCCCACGGGATGCGACCACTGGAGCCGGTAATCACACACACCACGCGGTGATGGCAGCTGCGCGGTGCTTAAAGCGCTGGGTGCACGCTGTGTGGGCGGGCCTTCCCAAGTGGACCAATCAGGAGATGACGATGGGCAGGGGGCAGCGCTTCAAGACCAATCAGGAGTCGGATCCGGCCGAGGTGGGCCCTGCCGTCCAGCCTCGAGTGCGGGCGGTTGCCTATCTTGTGTGCTAGAGCCGGGGCTACTGCAGGGCTGCAGAGTCTGCAGCTTCTTTGGTAAGGGTTAAGGAAGGCCCTCACGGAGTACAACGTAGAGTCGCGTCCCGAGTTCACCATGTAACCTCTGGAGTCAGGGGCACAGCCAGGGTGTGTGGGTGTTGGGGCGAGGATAAGGATGCAAGGCGTGCCCAGCCTAGGTTTCTGTCTTCGGCTACAGAAGGAGGCGACTGGACTTCACTGCTTATCCTAAGTCCCGTGGAGCGGCCTCGTGAGTTTGTGGGCAGGAACTGTGGACGTCCTCACACCAGAGACTCTGGGCTCTGCGTCCTGGACCTCAAAAACAACCACCACCATGCTGTCATTTTACAAGCTGAGGCTGGGGTCATAGTCTGGGGACAGTGCACTTGCTCTACTCTGGGTGCTGGCATCCTCCGGGCCAGCGTCATGTCCCTGCCTGAGAGACCCATCCTTGCCTTCAGGACCCATGGTCCTGAAGACCTGAGTTCCAGCTTGAGTCAAGATGGGTTCTGGTGCCTGCCTGATGTTTTCTGAGGTTCTCCAGAGGTCTCTCCTGATGTAAGGTCCTTTACCTTACAGAGAACTTTGGTTAGTGTTTGCAGTTTAGCTTGGACAGAGTCTCTCCCTGATTAGGATAATTGAAGAGCTGAGGTTTGCAGTGATTTTAGAGACATTCCTGGATGCCACAATTGTGGAATTGCCAGGAGGTGTGGGTGTTTGCCTCTAACTTCGAAGACTGTAGTGATTAACCTTTATCACCAGAAGTTGGTACACATACATAACACATCTTAATTCTTTTTATGTCCCTTTCTCCTCCCCCTCTCCAACAGCACAGTGGTAGTGTGGTAATGTCCTATACCCACAGTGCTTTTTTGTACATTAGTGCCCTTCATCCACACCACCACCTGGGAGTCAGGGAAGCAATGATGGAATCTTTCTGTGGCCTGGGTGACAGCAGATGATTGCAGTGTCAAGAGAGGTGGTGGGCCAAGTTCTGGGCGACTTCCATAGGCCTGGCTTCTCAGTGCAGTGTCTACCTCAGGGCTGATGACAAGATACCAGATATATTTGGACAGGAAGAAACACACCAGGCAATGCCTGGGAAGAAAAGGCTTAGAGATCACAGAGGTCAGAATGACAGGGCTCTTCATTTACCTCTGAGCCCAGCTATGGGCAGGGGTACCCTAGGAGATGGTGAATGCTGAGATTGCCACTCGAGTATGTACTGCACCCGTGGCAGATTTTCTCAGTTCCTGGGGATAATGCTGGCTGTTTCTTTTCCATCACCCCTGATCTTGGTCCACTCATTCCAGTGGGGTCCAGCATCTATCCTTGAGTGTCAGGTAGGGCCTTTGGGTGCCTGGAAGTTCCTTTCCAGGGGAGTGTGACATCGTGAATCTGGGAGTGATTACTGGCAGCTGATTCCCTGTTTGTATCTAATGTAAGGGGCTCAGTGGCACAGATCCAGTCTGCAGATAGATTTCCTCCCTGGCCCTCCTAGCCCCTGTCCAGGCCATAGAGAAGAAGATGGAATTCCGGGCTGCAGAGCCTGGAGGACCACATGGGGACAGTCAAGAAGGAGCTGGCCAACTGTGAGAAGATGGCTGTGGAGCTCAGGAATCAGCTGGAGGGCACGTGGGCTGTGCTGGGGACCATGCTGCAGGAATACGGGCTGCTGCAGCTGTGATTGGAGAACCTGGAGGACCAGCTGTGCAACTGAAACTTCTGGATCCTATAGGGAACAAGGGTGAGGCCCCTAATGTACAAGACCTGACTCAAGTTCCTTCTAGGCAGAGTGGAAAGAAGCCCATGGCTGTTGAAGTCTGGCCTCGGTGCCACGGGCTAGGCATCAACTGCAAGGGGGTTCAAAAATATCAGGAGGATGCCAGGCATAGCGGTGTAAGCCTATAATCCCAATACTCAGGAGGTTGAGACAGGAGAATTGCCATGAGTTTGAGGCTAGCCTTTGCTACATAGTGAGTTCAAGCCCAACTAGAACTATATAGTAAGACCCAGTCTCAAAGAAAAAAAAAAGCAGAAGGAAAGTGAGATGCCAGTTCTAGCAGGTGACATGAATGGCTGAGATGGACACACCTGTGCAGCAGCAGTTGTGTGTCTTATTCCAGAATGAACTCTGAAGGGGATAGGCTCAGATAGGGAAATCACTTGAAAGCCCCTCCACCAAGCCCCCTTGTGTAGACAGAAGACACACTTGTGCCTCAGAGTGGAAAGGACCCCAAAAGCACTGACCCAGGTCTCCCAGCTTCTGCTTCTGCCCTTGGTGTGAAGCAGAGGAAACGGAGGAGCTGGTACTGGCCATTGCTTTGAGGAAGGAAGGGGAAACGGGAACTGGTTGTAGCTGCTCTCTGAGGTGGTCACAGGCCCCAGAAACCTGCATTTTCAGGTGCCCATGACTATGGAAGAGGTGGCCACGTGTCTTTCAGGATCAGTGGGAGACAGTCTGAAGAGTGGCTGAAGGAGCTCGGCATGGGTGTTGCAGCAGCGAGGTGTGAGTTGCCGGTAGGAGGCTGGTCCCAGGCCCTCTGTGTCTTAGTTTTGTCCCTTTATTCAGCTGAGAGTCTTGAGTCTCAGAGCCAGAAGCAGGTTGAGATGAGCTCTCTTGCCTTCAGGAGCTAGCAGGTTGCCAGCCATAGTGGTGCATGCCTGTAATCCCTTGGCCTGACCATGTAGCATAGATTGGCCTTGATCTCTCAGCAGTACTCCTGCTTCAGCCTCCTGACTGTGATTACAGGCATGTGCCACCATGCTGCCCAATTGTCCACTCTCTTGCCTCATCCGGACTCTAAGGCCTAGAGCAAGCACCTTACCTCCCTTTCCTGGCAGGAAGGTCCCTATTCCAGAGCAGGGTGCCAGTATGTGGCAGGATGTGGTGTGCTGTGGTTGCTATGGATAACTGACCCCATCCCTGGCCTCAGTTTGCTTTGGTGTCACCTGACTGAGGCTACTCCTGTGTAGGGTGGCAGAATGGAAGCTCTTCTTCCTGTCATTGTCATCTGGGCGGCACTGGGAGGCCTTGCCCTACTCTACCTGGTGTCCCCCAGCACTGTCACTTGCCAAGAAGACCCTTGTAACCAATGTCTTCCAGCACCTCTTCCTCACTGACCATGCCGCTAAGCTGGAACCCCTGGCCGTCATGGAGAGGAGAGGTGGGGGCAGCTACATTATACCCATGTGGAGGGGGTGAGCAGCGGGCATTGGTGAGTACCCCCTGGGGAGTGTGGGCCTCAGGTTGTCACCTGGAAGTGCATCTGGTATTAGGGTTCCTACCTGGAGACAGAAGTGGCACAATTGAGTCACTGGACATCACAGCTGCCTGTTGGGCCCCATGAATCCTAGGCATCCTGATGCTAGGGGAAGCCAAGACTGCTTCTTTCGTGTCCCTGGAGCCATCAGTGTGGCCTGACATGACTCCGGGGCATTTTGGGGATGGCCATGGCAGACATCTAGGAACTGGAGGTTGAGGTTGCTGTTGTAATGCGTGAAGGACCTGAGAGGTGGGGGAGGTGAGACCACATGTCCCATAGCCCCGAGTCTCCAGAGAAGACAGTGAGGCTCACTGTAATGTTTCCCAGCACCTATCCCGGGGCCAGGCACAAGCTCAGATAATACATAAGGGTTGCTCAGTGAACAGTGAGCCAGAATGGGGAGCTTGGGTTTTCTTTACCTTTCAGATGATAGCCCTGGGTCTGAAGGTAGATTGCAAAGCTTTTTTCTCTGAAGCTGGAAAACCCATTATTTGGATGACAACCCACAGCACAACAGAGAAGGGCAGTGTTCTGGTGGAATTGGATGGGAGCCCTGTTCCCCAGAACTGTCATTCCAAGAGGCCGCCTTTACATTGAGATTTGTATATTTTATTTGGGGAGAAGGGGCACCCTGAGAACAGGCTTCCTGAGTGAAGTGCCCTTTAGAGCTGGGCTGCCCCCACTGTCTGAGCAGTCAGGTTCATGTACTCCTGGATCTGTGTGTTTTTTGGTACTCTGTCTTGGATGCTCAGGTCCAAATGTGTGGGTGCCAGCTTTATTTACAAAAGATTCCACAGCCAGGAATGGGGTGTCCATTTGCTGGGTCTGGGCAGGGTGTTGCATATTCACCATGCCCCTTAGGTAAGGTGAATGTGGTCAGTTTGAGCAGCAGGCTGCCAGGATCCCCGTGAACAAGGACTGACCAGCCCTTAACCTTTGTAAATGTCTGCTTTGATTATGCAAATATATTCTTGCTTGCATTATGCAAATGCATTCTTACAGGAGTGCTTTGTAACTGCAATGTAGAGGTTCCGAATAAGGCAAAAGGGCTTTCTCTCTGTGCTGGCCACCTGCTCCACCCTAGACCCCTCGGGTAGCTACTGACGATTTTGATGTGTGACCTTTTAGAGCTTTTTTTTTCTCATGCATTTACAATATGCATGTACTATAGGAAAATAGAGAGTTTCAAGCTACAACTGGGCATAGTGACTCATATCTGTAATCCCAGCACTCAGAAGACTGAGGCAGGACGATTGCTGAGAGTTTCAGGCCACCCTGGGCTATACACTGAGTTCAAGGCCAGCCTAAACCACAGAGAGAGACCCTGTCTCAAAGAAACTCAAAAAAATAAAACTCAGTACCAGGCATGGTGTACATGCCTGTAACCCCAGCACTCAGTAGGCTGAGGCA